TGTCACCAGACGCTCAGGAACCTTTTACTCCAGACCTATTATTAGAACCAGAGTTCCACCATCTGTCTTCCCCATCACCCCCCCACCATCCATCACAGGCACAGGGAGAGCCTTCCAGCACAGGCCCTAATTAAAACCGACCACACCCTGCCCTCCTCGTGATCTGTGCTTCCAGGTTAATTAGTACAAACGGTCTTTTTTGGAGCACATTGATGCCCTGACCAAGCTATTAACATTTTCTAACGTTCCAGCTCCAGGACACTGTGATGCACCCCGTGTTTGCTGTAGACAGGGGGATGTCCTGCACACAGAATTCACCTGGTGCTGTGGGGCAGACCCAGCCTCAGCCAGCACAGCACCAGCCCCGTGTATTTCCTTGCAGTCTCTCCCTTCAGTTCCACACTCCTGACATCACTCCTGCTCCACCTGTCTCACAGATCCCTGTTTTCCAAGAGCCTCCTTCCACCCCCAGTTAAGGATACCATCCACGTGCAGGATCTGGACTCCCCACAGGCGAGCGTTGGCGAGGATGCTGCTGCCACTGCAGGCGTCCTGCACAGAGAGGGTTGGCAAAGCACAGCTCAGAGCAGGGACATGTGCAGCTCCAAATTGAGCTTAGACTTAGGGTTTTTTTTTGGTTTGTTTTTTTTTTTTTTCCTGCTGCCCAACTGACAGACCACGGTGTAGCTGTTATTAAAATCAGGGCACAGCAGAAAAAAAGGTCTGAAGTCATGCTTTATCAATCCCAAATTAACAGCAGCACCTGGGGCAAATTTTTAATCCCTGTTACAGCATGAGCTTCAAAGTGGGCACTGAGATTGGTCTGGAGTGACATCAGGGAAAGGACTGCAGGGAGCTTTTTGTCCCAGCTACGTGGCTTTAGTCCTCTTTAGGCTAAAAATTCATCTAACAATAATTCTCCTGTCCTGAGCACCCAGATGGCTGGGATGGGCCTCAGAGGTTGGGGTGTCGCCCATCCAGGACGGATGGCACAGCTCCACGAGGAGCAGTGACAAGAGGATTACACAACCTTCTGCAGGCCACAAGCAACTGCTCCGTGCCTCTCCTGGCCCCAGGATGTGCCCTGTCAGCAGGGCAGGGGCTCTGCAGGAGGGCTGGCACTGGTTGTGCACTGCTCAGCAGAGCTCTGAGCACACCCAGCCCGAGGGGGGCCCGGCCACGTGCTGCTCACCTGCCTCTTCATGGCCTTCTGCAGCAGCTCCTTCCCCCGGCTCAGCAGGGCCTGCAGAGAGGAGACACAGCCCAGGTGATGGCAAAGCACAGCAGGGCAGTGGGAATGATTCCTGGGCACACCCCTAGGCTGCTGGGGAGCAGGGCCTGGCCAAGGCTCCTGTCACAGCCACTGGGAATGAGCACCTGCAGGGAGCAAACCCGCAGAGCCCCCCTGGCTCTGCACTCACAGCACCAGCCAAGGCTCGGAATCATCGACCGGCAGGGAAGGCTCTGGAGCGAGCCAAGAGGAAGCAGTGATTTAGCTTGGAAACTGCTGCTGCATCATGGAATTGCTGGGGCTGGAGAAGCCCTCTAAGGTCATTCAGTGCAACCATTCCCACAGCACTGCCAAGGCCACCACTGCCCCATGTCCAGGGATGGGGACTCCACCCCTGCCCTGGGTAGCCTGTTTCAAGGCCTGTCAGTGGAGAAATTTTCCCAAATACCCCAGCTGAACCTCTCCTGGCACAACCTGGGGCCATTCCATCCTGTCCTGTCACTTGTTACCTGGGAGAAGGAAGTGATCCCCACCTGGCTCCCCCCTCCTGTCAGGGAGCTGTAGACAGGTAAGATCCCCCCTGAGCCTCTTTTTCTCCAGGTATCCCAACGTGCTGGCCAGGCTCAGGGACATTCTTGCTTCCCTTCCTGGGAACAGAGTCTTATTTGCAAGCCAGTGGTCCCAGATCAGTTCAGCTCTTGGTAAGACAAGGGGACAGTGCTGTGAGCCAGGACAGGGACAAGCACTGGGTGCAGCCCCTGAAGCTCAGGTTTCCCACTGCAGGTGGACCAGCTCCAGGCTGGCAGAGATGCCACGGGCCTGGAGTGGGGCAGCAGCCTCATCCCAGTCACAGCTTCCAGCAGACTCCACTTTCCAAGAGGGATGTTGGCCTTTGGCCTCAAGCACTGCTGAGCAGAAAGTTCAGGGTAACAAGATCCAAAAAATCCCCTTCCTGGAGGAGATGCCTTGTGGATCTCCTCCCAGGGTACAGTGGCCTTGCCCTGTGTCTGTGGATACACATCCAGAGCCTGCAATTTTTTTATCTGGTTTTATCTGGTCAACCCTTCCCTTGGCTTCTCCTCTGCCCTTCCCTGGGGAAGCCAGCCAAGCCCTCCATTTCCTCTGCCATTCCAGCAGATTTCCTTGGTCCCAGCCCAAAGCTGTGACGTGCACATCTGAGAGGATAATGATGGCAGAGGAAAGGCACATGGGTACAAACAGGAACAGCCTGAGCGGGGGGAAAGGACCCCAGTCATGATTGCTCAGAGAGCAGGACTGACTTCACCTCCAACACTGCCTGCACCCTGCAGAGCCCTTGGCACGAACTTGGAGGTGGCCAAAGACCTTCACAGCTCTTACAGTGTCTGGTGGCTTCTGGTGAGGTCTGGGTGGGTTCCCTCTGCAGGCAGCAGGCCCTGAGCTCGTGGGGTTGGTGTCTCCTGAGGTTGGGTTGCTCTGCTTTCCATCCCCAGTCCCGGCTCTGCCCCGTTTGGCCTCCTTGTTGCTGGACACCACGTATGTCACCTCCTTGCTGAGGAAGCTCTCGGTCACCTGCAGACACAGCACAGACAAGCTCTGGAAGTGTCCAGCTGTGAGCTGAAAGAGCCCTGCCTCTGGTTTAACCCCCCACACGCTGAGGGGCTGCTGGAAGCGCTTATAATACCTCCAAGCATTCCTTCCTCCACTCCACAGGGCTGTCCCCCAGGAGGAGACATCGTCCTGCTCGGGGAGCACAGCAGAGTCACCAGAACCTCCAGATCCACACACCCCGTGACTGTCCCCCATCACCTCCCCCTCAAGCAGGGGGTTCAGAAAAAGGCAATAGCTGAGAAGAAGGCCCTGGATGCTGTGGGTCAGGGTGGAGGAGCTCTGTCCTCAGGAGAGCAGGAGGTGTTTTAGCAAAATCAGGGAGAAAGGGAACGGCTGGGACGAGCAGCTCCAGGGAACAGGGAACCAGCAGGACAGAACACACACACAACAGGAGCTACAAGCCCAAGGAAGAGCTGGAAACCCCGAAGTTAATGAGATTGTAAGTCCATAATGACTTGGGCTCTCCGAAGCTGAGCAGAAGGCAGGCACAGGGCACTAACACATGGGTATGAGGCCTCCAGGAAGACAAAGACCTGGGCAGTCCAAAACTTCAGCTGCTGAACAAGCTGGTTCTGCTCCTTTACAGAACCCCCACTGACCAGGATCCCAGACCCCCTCCCTCCATGGGAAGTGCTGAAGGGACAGTGGAGGCTGTCCTGCAGCAGTGACCCCTGTCACAGGAGATCAGTGGGGCTGGAAGCACAGAAACAGAGGGAATCACAACATCCCCATCCAAATACCACTCCAGGGTGTCCCCAGCCCCCTGCCAAGGTGAAGCTCAAGGTGCCACAGGCAAGTCCAAGGCCACGTCACCCAGGACCTGGGCTGGGATAGTGCTGCCAAAGAGGTGGCCGTGGGGGAGTTGGGTTCAGCATCTCCACAGCAGCAAGAGGAACGAGAACTGCACTCCCTGAGTGCCTCCTCTCAGACAGGGAGGTGACCCAGGATGGTGTTTGACAGGAATCAGAAGGGCAGAAGAAGGCTAGAATTATTTCCAAGGAGAAATAACTGACTGCTGGTTCTCTGACTTGAAGGTGCACAACTAGATGAGATGCTGTGAGCAGTGTCCCTGAGTGTGGGTGGCACAGCCAGGGCAGGGCAGAGAGAAAACAGCAAGTTCAGGATGGTGGTGCAGTTAAAAAAAGAGAAAACAATGCACTTCCCCACGTGTCTGTGCAGCCAACACGTGATCCTGGCAGCAGATACAGCAGCAAATGAAATGAAGATTTCACCTCTGTGTCTACACTGAAGGATTTAAATGTTGGGGTGACATGAGACAATCACCTCAGAGGGACTAAAGAGCTTGAAAACAAATAGCAACAACTGTTGGGAGCAGATTGTGCCCAGGAGTAATAAAGAAACAGATGAACAACCAGGTACAACCCCCGTGCTCAGCTCCAGCCCAGGGACTGAGGTGATGCTACTTTGTGAAGGGCCTTGAGGGAGGATATAAGGAATTCATGAGGAATATCAGCAGCTGGGAAGCCTGGAGGCCATGGAGGATGTCACGTGGACCCACTCAAACAACAACCTCACAGGGAAGAGGGTCCAGATGGCTTTTCTGGGAAAACCACGAGAAAAGCACGAGAACCTTGGCTGTTGCTTCCCTGCTTTACCCTATGCTGAATTCCATGCAGAAGTTCCACAGCTTCCCTAAAATATTAATCAGTCACAGGCTGTTGTGCGTGATGAGGGGGAGCCAGGCACCAGTTACCACCACCTGGGAGGTGCCCCCATGACTGGGCAACCAGTTCCCATTTGCTGGAAAAGCACTGCCGGGACCAAGCGAGCAGTCACGCCTGCCTGGAAGGCACCTCTGGGGCCAGGGAGCTGCTCAGCACCGCCTGGAAGTTGCTCCCGTGGTGGCCACCACCCCCCAGACGGTGCTGGCCCGAGCAGGCAGCCCGGGAAGCACCTGGAAGCAGAGGGAGAGGTTTGCAGGGAGCTGGTCCCGAGCAGGATGGATGGATGGATGGTGGTACCCAGAGACCCCCGAGGGACTCTGGCACAGGGGGGTGTGTGATGGACTGAAATGGCTTTAACGTCAAGATCATAGAAAGACTTTTTGTCAAACTGCAAGGACAGGGATGGGGGGGCGACCTCCCCCCCCACCCCGAGGGGCTCCGGCTGCCAAGGGACCGGGGAGGGGAACGACACCAAACCACCGGGAAAATGAGAAAATCAGATTTTTTTTTTTTTTTTTTAAAGAGCATGGAAAGAAACGGAGGAAGAAGGGTGGAGGGGCCACCGCAGCCGCCAGTCACTGAGACCCCCGGGGGTGGCGGGAGCGGGGTGAGCGCATCCCGGTGTCCCCCCCAGTCCC